TCAAGAAACCAAGGATTGTTGAAGAACCGGTTGTTGAAGAAGAGGACATGCAACAACATCAGGGTGGTTTGAATTTTGAAGAGGATATTTCTATAACCACAGCTCTAACAATTGTCACTTCTTTAGTGGAGACAATTTTGATGTCTACTGTTACAATTCCAGTCGAAACTACATTGATTGAGACAGTACCCATTTCAGAACCCGTTGTCGAAAACTCTATTTCTGAACCAATGTCTATCTTTGAACATTTGACCACGTCTGAAACTCATATTTCTACTTCAGATCATTCGGAAGCTACAATTTCTGAAAGACCTTTAAAGAATACATTAGGGAATGTTTTTATAGATGAAGAAGAGGAAGTGATTGATGGATATGTGTTTAAGGCCGGGGAAGATCCTTTTTTTGATGATGTTGTCGATGATTTTGAGATGGCTGCTCTTGGTGAAGACTTTGTTGCTTCTGATGAAGAAGACGATGAAGATGATAATCAGTTGATGTCTAAAAGAGATTTTAAGAAGTTAAATCGTAAGCTTAATGTTGTATTACGATCTCTTGATTCCAATACTCAGTCTGCCCAACATTCGAATCAAGAAAAAATGCTTGCTGATTGGTCGGTCACACTTTCTGATCAAAACAAAAAGATTGATTCATTAACAACTGGTTTTGATCTTTTTAAAGATCACATAAATATTGAAACCAAGTCCCACATGACGAAGGTACAAGAAGTTATGTTTAATGAGTACAAAAAGCTTCTTGATGAAATCTCAAAGATGAGAGAAGAGAATGAGAAGTCTTTAAACAAGGCATTTAGTGATCTCAAAAGTGAACATGAAAATTCTCTCAAAAGTCTATATGAATCTCTTACTGAAGCGAAACAGAGAGAAATTACTTTACAAAATGAGTTGACGAAAGCGTTAGCCCATATCGAGTTTCTTCGTTCTTACACGAATGTTGTTAATCCAGAAGAACTTGCAAAGCAGGTTGAGACTCAAATGGTTGCATCTCATCTCAAGTCTCTACAACCTGTTATCGAAGCATACCCAAACAGTGTTCCGAAGGTATCTTTGTCACCTTCTAAACAAGGGGGAGGAGAAAGTCAGGAATTCAATCTCATGACTCCAGAGATCATTCTTATATCATCCGAAGGTACTTCTTCTGTTCCGTCTTCTGAAGCTACGTTTCTTGCAACCTTACCATCTACCATATCAAACAATGTTGCATTTCCTGTTTATACTCAATTCACAAAGAGTATTCCTTTGCCATTATCAAAACCTCTTTCAATTGGTTCAACTGCTGTTACTACAATGCTTTTATTAAGTTCTGAACCAATGTCTTCAAAAGGAAAAGAAAATATGGAAGTGCTAAGTAAGAAAGAATTGAGACAGAGAAAAGTTGAGGAAAGAAACCGTTCCCAATTGAATTTTGATGCAGAGTACATTAAAGGAGTTGCTGAAGAAGAGAAAGTGGAAGCTGAGAATAGGGTAAACTTGATAAGAAGTCTGGGATTTTCTGAAAATACTGTGTTTGACCTTGTTCCCAAAGAAAGCTGCTCAGTTATCAATTCTTTGGAAAAGCAATTTGATTTTCCTATATCTCCAAGGGCATATGGCTATCCTATAATGAGTCCAAAGACTAATGAAAATATTGGTGATTTGTCATATAACGAAAGACTTGTTCGTTTCTATGCTCTTGTTGGGAAACCTTCTGAATATTCCTGGAGTCCAAAGATTATCAGAAGCGTTGAGTCTGTCATAGAAACCGAAAGTTTTGAAAATGTGTTTCAGAATTTCAAGTTTGTTGTTCGGAGAGACATTATGGATGATATTACTTTCACGATTGCCGATTTCCCAAATTTGAATCCACATGATTTAATTGTTCTATTGAAGCTCTTAAAAGACCCAAATTCTGTTGCGATGCACTCTATCAAGACTTTTCTCTGTTACTATTACAGAGACATAGCTCGAACTGATATAGTCTTGGCTGGAGCTATAAATCAGAAAGTAAAGTTACCAAATAAAGAGGCTGAAGGAATTGATAATATTGGTGCTGGAGAAATTGTTACAAAACCAACATGGGGTTCGACTTATTCAGTTAAGGTAGTAGGTGGTAGATCAAGAAAAGTATTCTTCAGGATGAATGAGAAAGAGAGGTTCCCTAATAACGTGTTGGAGGGAATAATTCAAAGGATTATGTTGAATTCTAAGAATTCAGAATCTGTGAGAAAGAAAGCTGTGGATATGCTAAGATGGTGGTTGAAGATCAGAGAAGTTTTGTTGGAATTGGCTCCTGTTTTATTCCCAGATTTGATGAAAGATTAATATCCAAAGTGACTGTCATTTTTGAGTGTCGAAGTGGTTGTGGCAGTCAAGACTTCCAAAGTTTAGGTCCTAACATGATAGGTGGCCCACGAACCCGGTCTCAAATAGTGGTTTAACTTTACTCAGCAAACCGCCCTGTCCACTGTTAGCATCATCTGTGAAAAATAAAAGATAAACAAGCAATGTTCCGTGAAGACTTTGGGTGCTTGAAAGTTGCAGAATTGGGTAAAATTAAAATTTTCTGATAAAAGTTTAATATTGTTCTTCAAGCTACCTGAACCATCATTTGTAATGTATATGTGCCTTTGGGTATGTTGATGTTGCTACTATGTTTGTATGTCTAGCAATTTTTTTTAATATTCATTAATATTGCCTGATGAGTTACATTGAGGATTTCATAATCTTTAGGGCTTTAATAAATAGTACACATAACTGATAATAATTGCAATTCTTGTTAAGATGAGGGAATTGATTCAAGAACGTATATTGAGGATTAAGGTTGCCTGATTAGCTACATTGAGGATTTCAAAATCTGTTGATAACCATTTTTTCTGTTTTCTTTATGCAGGGGAAACAGTGACAATTGTTAGTGACCATGATACTGCTTTGCTAAAGTACTTTGATTGCACCTGTTCTGGAGCAATCAAAAATAAATACATAAATAAATAAAAATAACTTTTGTTCCATTAACATCAGCCCCACTCTAAGTCCATAGTACAACATGATGTGTCTTGTTTGTACATGTTATGTAAATATGTCCGACATGGGAAATGGTTGAGGCAAAAAGATCTTCAAAATTAAATGAATTAAAGGTTTTGGAATTTCTTATACAACAACTTAGACATGTAAATGGAAATCATAATCTAGCTTTCCTGGTTCAGACTGGTTATGTCTCTAAACAAGAAATTGAATCTTCTATTTTTAAAGTAACTCAATTATTAATGAAAGCTAAAGGAGAGCAAGATGAAACTGAAGAGATACATGATCCTTTTGCAACAGAAAAATATACCCTTATTGATATTCCAGATGACATGCTAACTCTAGACTCCAAAACAAGTATTTTATACGTTGGATTTTTCACCTCTAAATGCAAAAAATAGCAACTTACTTTCATTGGTTTGTTTATTATAGAATCCTACTTTCATATGTTCTTATTACAACATTGTAATAAAAGACCTACACGGGTATAGCAATGTCATCCAAATTATAAAGAAATTATTTATAATTTTTGGTAGATTTTATAAAAGTAATAATGTCATAAAAAGAAAAAGATCGAAACTGCAATGCTATAATTATGTAGATTTTTCAAAGTACTATCCCTTAATAAGACATAATTTGGTAGTGCAATAACGTAAATTGTATAGAAGAAACTGGATATTAGATGCTATAATACACATATAAATGAATGTATGTTGCTATTTCTTGCATTTAGCCCTATATGAGAATCACATGGCATGTGGAAAATCCTCAGCAAATTGCAAGAACATCTATCACAAATTCCAAGTTTTTGATTGTACTTAATAGCCGAAAGCAGCATCAACACCAAAAGCTATGAAATAAGGATGGTTAAAATATGGTAAAACGATGATAAAAACAAATAATTATTATAGTATAGTTTTGTGTTTTCATACTTTCTTCTTTTATATTTTGGCCACAAAAGTTTCTTATGTTGACACATTTGGTCCCTAGACTTTCATATATTGCCAATCTTCTTCCCCTTATTTTGTAGAATGACACTTTCCACCCCATTCTTAATAAAATGGCACTTTCCACCCAGTTATTTTGTAAAATGTCACTTTTATTCCCTCAAGTTTGAACAACGATAACGTCCACCCCTTCAACTTTTTGTATATTGCCATGTTTACAAGCTTGGTCCTTGGAACCATTCCCTCCAACACATTATTAGGGAATCTCTCTTTCTCATTCATCCCAAAGAATACTTTCCTTATCTACCACTTGCTACCCTAACTGAATAAGTCGAACCCCATGTTGGTTCTGTAGTCATTTCTCCAGCACCAAAATCATCAATTCTCTCAGCATCTCTATTTGGTTATTTTACTTTATGATTTATAGCTCCATCCAATACTATATCAGTTCGAGCTATATCTTTGTAATAGCAATAGAGAAAAGTCTTGATATACTACATCACGATAGATTTTGCCTTAAAACCCCAGTCTTTTGAAAACTTCAGTAAAACAACTAAATCATGCGGATTCAAATTTGGGAAATCACCAATCGAGAAAGAAATAACATCCATAATGTCTCTCCGAACAACAAACTTGAAATTCTGAAACGCATTTTCAAAACTTTTGGTCTTCATGACAGACTCAACCTTTTCGATCATCTTTGGACTCCAGGAACATTTTGACAGTTTCCCAGCAAGAGCATAGATACGAACAAGTCTTTTGTTATATGTAAAACACCAATATTTTCATTAATCCTTAGACCCATTATAAGATAGCCATATGCGCTTCGAGATATAGGAAAATCAAATTGTTTTTCTAAAAAATTGATAATTGAGCAGCTTTCTTTTGGAACAGGGTTAAACACACTGTTTTTAGAAAATCCCACACTTCTTATCAATTTTACCGTTATTCTCAGCTTCCACTTTTTCTTATTCAGCAACTTTCTTAGTGTAATCTGCATCAAAATTCACTTGAGAACTACTTTGTTTTTTCTGTTTTAATTCTTCCTTAGCACTTTCATCATTTCTTTTCCTTTTAAAGAACTTGGTTCAGAACTTGATGAAGGCATTAAAGTAACATCAGTTGAACCAATTGAAAGAGGTTTTGATAATGGCAAAGGAATACTCTTTGTGAATTGGGTAGAAACAGGAAATGCAACAATGTTTGATATGGTAGATGGTAATGTTGCAAGAAAGGTAGATTCAGAAGATGGAATAGTAACAAATGTCGAAGATGTTGGTAAAAATATCAAAGGTTGAACTGAAGAAATACCTTCGGATGATATAAGAATGATTTCTGGAATCTTGAGATTGAAACCCTGACTTTCTCCTTCTCCGCCCCCTTGTTTCAAATGTGACAAAGATACCTTCAGAACACTCCTTGGGTATGTTTTGATAACAAGTTGTAGAGGCTTGAGATGAGATGCAACCATCTTCATAGTGAGATTTATGGCATTAGCCATTTGAGCCTTGACATGCTTTGCAAGTTCTGCTGGATGAACAACATTAGAGTAAAAACGAAGAAACTCAATACAGGCTATTGTTTTCGTTAACTCATTCTGTAAAGTAATTTCTCTTGCTTCAGTAAGAGATTTATTTAGACTTTAGAGAGGATTTTCATGTTCACTTTTGAGATCACCAAATGCCTTGTTTAAAGATTTCTTATTCTTTTCTCTCATCTTCGAGATTTCATCAAGAAGCTTTTTGCATTCATCAAAAATAACTTATTGTATCTTCGTCATTTGGGACTTGGTTTCAATATTTATGTGAGCTTTAAAAAGGTCAAAACCATTCTCTAATAAATCAATATTTTTGTTTTGATCAGAAAGCATGACTTACCAATCAGCAAGTATTTTTTCTTGATTCAAATGTCGGGCAAATTAAGTATTGGAATTAAGAGATCGTAATAGAACATTAAGTTTACGATTCAACTTCTTGAAATCTCTTTTAGCATCAAGTGGTTATCATTTTTGTCATCCTCTTCATCAGAATTAACCAAGAATTCACCAAAAGCAACCATCTCAAAATCATTGACAACATCATCAAAAGAAAGATCTTCCCTGGCCTTAAACACAAATCCATGAGCCTCTTCCTCTTTAGAAGTGGTTAGAGGTTCAGAGATAGACATTGGTTTGGAAATGTGTTTCAAAAACAGGTTTTGAAATGGGAACTATCTCAACCAATGTAGTTTCAACATGAGTTCAAGTTGTAGCAACAAACATCGAATTGTCTCCAATAAAGCAGTTTTGACAATTGTTTGAGTTGTGGTTATAGGAATATCTTCTTCAAATTCAAACCACCCTGATGTTGTTGTCCTTTCTCTTCTTTGACAACCGGTTCTTCAACAATATTTGGTTTCTTGACTCACTTTGACTTTTTCATAACTTCAGGTTCCCCCATTTCAGGCTTAACAAATGGAGTTTTTCTTTTCTTCGCAGTCATTCTTGTAATCTGAACATCTTCTTCTTGAGGCGTTGGTCCAACAGGATAAAGAATAATAAGAGAAGCCCTATATTGATCCAAAATCTTACTTGGACTTTTACTCAAACTCAACACTTCTTCACGAATCTGACCAACAACGGAAAAATAAGACATATCAACTTTGGTTGGAATACTAATTTGATGAAACACCATCTTCGCAACTTGAAACTCTTCAATTGGAATTTTATGAAATTCATAAGCCTGAGAAACTATTAAACCCCAAAATTTATGTGCAGAAAGTTCAATTACCCTTTTGAAATGTTTGATGCTATCAAAAAATTCACTTTAAAACACCGTAGCAAAATCCAAAATCACACCTTTATACAACCCATACATAAAAGCATATAACTCTTTGCATCCAGAATCTAATCCACAAGGTCGACTTGTTAAACCACAAAGAAAAAAACCAAATAGAAGACTCCAAACAAGCAATAAGTCTGTTCTTTCTGAAACCAGACACCCTCTTCATGTAAGGTCATGATCCATAGTACTGAACATATCACTGAGCTCTTGACGTGTCGGAATAACATACGTTCCTTGAGTTGGAAGACATAAAATCTTTGCAACCTTTGCCTTAGCCCTTAGACATGGTTATGCGCTTTCTACCTTGAAGTTCAAATAAACCCTATCATTCATTTTGTTGACAATTGTTGTAGTGAATGCTAGAGTGACGATTCTCATAGCTATTGACAAAGATTTATTTAGAAAAGAACATTTCATACATTCCACCATAATCTGAAGAGATTTAGGATATTTTGATGGATTCAAAATGGCTTGACTGAGAAGTAAAGGTCGGCATTGAAGACTCTTCTTCAAAAGAAACACGATCAGAAACTGCATTCATTGTTTGGAAATAGCAAATGAAAATTTGAAACTAGAGGTATTGAATTGCTTGAGATAGTTGGGAGAAAAGTAAAATGATCTAATATTTCCAAAAATTCTACATAATTCAACAGGCTAATAAACTGCATTTGACTTTTCAAAGTCATAGCATATGAGTCTTTGTTCATCCTTCTTTCACAGAGTAATTGTGAGCATAGTAAACCTACTTTTTGAGACCGGAATTTTTAGTTTGTTGGGCACCTAACATGTTAGCCCAATTCATCCAAATATTAAAATAGGATCACTATATAAATGAGAAGATACAAAAGCTATTGAAAAGTATGGGATACTAATATGAATCTTTTCTTTATAGAAACCTACAACAAGGTACTCTTGTTCGCCATTATTTTTCTTTTTACCATTTTTTGATTTTATTGAAGATTGATGATGAGATACAAAAGCAAATACATCAAACTCATTTTTCTTTTTACCATTTTTTTTTTAATTTTGTTGAAGATTTATGAGATACACAAGCAAATACATCAAACTCGATGGAAGGAAAAGAAGGAGATACATGCTTGATGTGCAGATGGTAGTGATAGGAAGAACGGAAGAGATGGAGACGCTTTTTCGGATGGAACAATCAAATGATGGGAAAAAACGCACATGGAATATCAATAGGAGGATATTTAATTTCTCTTTTTAGAATATATTCATACTAATAATTTCAATAACAAGTAAATACAACTTGAATATTTATTAGAATTTGATTGTTGATAAATATTTATATTTCTTGCAATTAAATGGAAATTAATAATTTGTTAAAATAATAATTTTTAATATTAAGTATCAAACTTGTATCATAAGATATGATAAATTCGTGTACATCCTTTGGACTAAAAGGGTTTTGTTCTTAAAATAAATGTACATAAGTTTTATAAAATATAAAAATTGAAAGATCTTTATAAATCTTTTCTTCTTTCTTCTAAAAATAAGAAGGCTATGAGAGGGGGCAAAAAATATTGCTAGTTGATTATTATAAGAAGTTAGTTGTATTTTAGAAGCATGGCAACTTACCATCATTAAGCATAGATGGTGTGTTAAGACACATTGGATAAGGACTAAGGTGCTGTTTGTTTTTTCGAAGCGAAAATTTATAAAGTCTGCAGACCACCTCTGCAATCCTCTGTAGCAGAAGAGGTGGAACAAATGGCTGCAGCCTATAATAAGAAACATATTTGTTTTTTTAACATCTGCAGTAAACTAAAATTTAAATAAACTAATTTTATAAATTGAAATAATTCTCAACATTGAAATTTAATAATTCTAGTCTTAAAACATTGAAATAATAATAACAAGAACATGTAAAAAACAAAAATATAAAACTTTTTATAAAAAAAAAACAAAAAAAATGTAAAAGAAGCTAATAGTTTTATTCTAGAAAAAAGATTAATTTAATAAAAACATTAAAAAAGAAAATAAGAAAAAAAAAATAAGAAAGTATTGCAAACGTTGTCTACAAAGTTCGTAAAAAATTACACACGTTAAAAAAAATGTAACAGAAATTGAAAATATTATTAATAAAATGGTAAAAAAATTTTAAAAAATAAATTAAAAACATCGTGAAAATTATAAAAATAAATTGTATCACATCCGTAAATAAAAATTTAAGAAAATCAAAGTTAAAATTTTTTTTTTTTAAAAAGTTACACAAAAATTCTTAAAAAAACACTTAGAAAAAATGAAAGCTGAAGAGGTTAGAAGAGGCAAGTCAAGTGATGTGCCACGCAGCACACGCGCAGAAGTTTTGTAGTCTGAAGTCTTCCAAAAAACAAACTGCTGCGAGAGGGAAAGTGCTGCGCGTGTGCTGCGCCGCGCAGCAATAAGTGGTTTGAAGAGGTTTTTATAGAAAAACAAACAACACCTAAAAGAAACTTCAAGGCTTTCAACCTGTTCCGATCATTTGATGAAAAAGTTAAAGACTATAATTTTAGGATATATGTTACTACAATGGAATAATATGGACCTATAATAACATAAAAGAGTATTTTAGTTAATTAATATGAAGTTATATATGGAAAATTCCGAATTTTAAGGGATAATTAATCCTATTAGTTTAATTTTTTTAAATAACTAGTTTCCAGATTTTTGTTTATTCCAAAAAAAAAAAAAATGAAACAAAATTAAAATTCCAAATATGTCATTCTCATTCATTTATCATGTTTCATACATAAAATAATGAAAAAAAATATATTGCAAATTTATCATTCTCATTCATTTATCATGTTTCATACAGAAAATAATGAAAAAAATATATATTGCAAATTTATCATTCTCGTTAATGTAACATACAAGTACAAAACTGAAATTGTGTTGAGAATATAAAAAATAAATGTGAAGGATATGTTAAATTCTAACTATTATTAAATCATTGATACTAAACCAAAAAGGTTTGTGTTACATGTATAAAAATTTACCCATAAAATATATAACTTAGATTAAATCATTGATACTTTAATTTATTCATTCAGGGCAAAACTCTTATTTTTACATGATAAAAGACTCTTCTGGAGAGCCTATGATTATTACAAAACGACAAATATTACCTAACAATTATTTTACATGACTAGACTATACCACTAATACGCATTCTATATTATGAGACAAGACACTACTATAATACTTTATTTTCCCACTATCTTACATTATTAGAAACGACATAATTATATTATTATATTATTAGTGTTGTATTTGACAATTACTTACGTAACTGTCTAGTAGAATCTTTGTTTATTACTTCTTTGTTTGCTCTTCTTTTTAGTGAATAATTTTTTTTGCTTGTTTGTTGTTATTCGTCCATCACTGTTTACCGTGAGCTCCATGTTTGGGTTAATAGACAGCCACAGTGACAGCTAATGTGGAAACACAAAGTGCTATCAACTTTCTTTTCTACTTAACATCGGCAACCGGTTACAATAAGTGGGTTACCCAAATTAATCGGTAAAAATCAAGTTTATAATTGGTTAAGCCATAATAATACTAATCCTAAAAGTTATAAAAGTTTTTTTTTTTTTTTTTTTTTTTTTTTTGTGTGTGTGGTGTAACTTTCAAGCCTTTTTGGGCCTAAGAATATTACTACTACGCTGATCCCATGTGACATTTGGACCAATTGGGCTCAGCTAACATGTAGTCAACAAACTAAAAACTATGGTCTGAGACATTGGTTTTTATTATGGTCAACAAACCGCTCGGTAAGTGTTGGCTTCTTCGAAAAATGAACAGGAGTGTTCAGTTCGGCTTTTGTCGCTTCAAAGTTCCAGTGGAAGAATTAGGGCACGCTTTGGTCAGTCGTCATTGCGTTTTATTACTACAATCTCATACCTGCAAGCTGCCAAGTCGTCGTCGACAATTGTAATCTTGTTACAGAATTGGGTAAAATTGAAATTTTCGGGTAAAAGTTTGATATTCTTCTTCAAGCTATTTGAGCCATTATTTGTGATTTATATGCGTTATGTTAATGTGATGATTGTGGATAAGCATGGATATTTTTCGTTGAAGTGCTTGTTCTCTTAACTACATTTTGTCCTTCCAAGGAAGACTCATATGCTATGACTTTGAAAAGTCAAATGCGCTTTTTCGCCTGTTGAACTTATGGGGATTTTTTGGAAATATTAGATTATTTTTACCATTCCCAACTCTTTCAAGCAAATCAATAACCCTAGTTCAAGATTTTCATCTGCTATTCCCAAACAATGACTGCAGTTTCTGAACGTGAAGATTCTTCAATGCCGACCCTTACTTCTCAGTCAAGCAATTGTCAAACCATTTTGAATCCATATAAGTATCCTAAAAATCTTCAGATTATGGTGGAATGTATGAAATGTTCTTTTCTAAATAAAGCTTTGTCAACGGCTAAAGAGATTCCAAGGAGAATCGTCACTCTAGCATTCACTACAGCAATTGTCAACAAAGTGAACGATACAGTTTCTTTTGAACTTCAAGGTGGGAAGCGAACAACAATTTCTATGACAGATTTTGCAAAACTTTTATGTCTTCCAACTGAAGGACCGTATGTTACTCCAACAAGTGAAGAGCTCATTGATATGTTCAATTCTATGGGTCATGAACCTTATATGAAGAAGGTGTCTGATTTCAAAAAGAGCAAACTTCCTGCTGTTTGGAGTCTGCTGTTTGGATTCATTCTTCGTGGCTT